ATCACCTTCACACTTTGTAATAACCAAAGTGTCAAGCTCTCTTTAACCTTTACAGTATAGTTTAGATTATTTGTACTTTAGGATAGTCAATTATAGTTTAATGAATCTTTATTGCAAAATATTAAATAACTATTTTAAAAAATATAAGAATGAAATAAAAAGTAAATTGAAACTCATGATAAATTCACACAACTCACCTTAATATACATGCAAGGATTCATTAATATACAAATATGAACGGAATTGCACACACAACTAATAATTTTTATATTCATGGAAGGAGTTAGGAATTTAGATCGATCGAGTAAAACAATAAAAGAGCAAAAAACTAAATAATATTATTTTATTATCTATTTTTATTTTATTATGATTACTATGATTATTTCACATATATATTGTAGGAAAATAAGTGAAATGAAACTCAATTTTTTAAAATGAAATAATACTAAAATATATTTTCTTTTAATAAATAGTAAATACAAACAAGGCCCCCCTAATAATTTGCGGGCCGTAGGCGGTCAGCTCTGGTTTGCACGGTAGCCTGACAATTCAATATGAATCATGATTATACCATAAAAATATACACTAGGTTGGAAGAAAAACTGAACTAACAAAAAAAATATTAGTTTTAATAGTTGATAACAACCTTATGATAATTAGCTTATCTTTTACCTCAAGTTCGTGAAAGTTCTACTAATAATAATAATAATGTTGTTTCTATACACGTGTCATTCATGTGATGGTATGAAATATTTGATTGTATCGGAAAGATTTTGTTAATATACATATATTGACCATTTGACATGTATTGATTCGGATTGGACTTTTATTACATACCGCATCTTAGAAATGTAATGAAATGAATTCGTTATTTTTCTACATGTCTCAATGATGTCATTTAGGTGGATATATAGAAACACTCTATATAAGATAAGATAGAAAACCAACATGTACACATAAAGAACATGCAATGTGGTCATGTGAAATAGTGAAATATTTCACTATTAAAATGTGCGTTACAACTTGGGTGTTTGTAAAGAACATGTGGTAATGACAACTTTAATAGACCATGCTCAAAAAGTGGCTTTTGAATTTATTAACATATTTGAACCTTAGGCATATAGGACAAGGGCCCCCCAAAGCATAATCCTAAAGTAAAACAAGTCTCAAAGATTCTCCCTTTTGTGGGCATGAAAGTTTTCTATATTTTTTCTTATTTTATCTTATTTTTATTTAGTTTGTGTAGTGTGTACTACATTTCCCTAAGTTTTGCTAAATATCACAAGCATGGGCTACAAATTGTTATTGTAGGTGCAATTATTTGTCGTCTTTGTTCACAATTATTGATACATCATATTCAAGCACCAAAGGACAAGTTTCAAGTTTCTGTCATGTTTGAGCACTTGATTAGCTTATATGCTTGGCACATGCGATGTCTTTTGCAATTTAGGACGTGTTTTTGTACAAATATATCGTCCCAAAATGAGTTGTTTTAATTAACAATAATTAATTTTGAAAAAATATTATTGTTAGCTGTTAGTGAGATTTTGAGGTTATATTAAAATAATATCTAAGATAAAATAATTAAAATTGATTTGATGTAAAAGTAATAGAGAAAAAGTGTGAAGTGATGGTTAGTTAAAATAATGTGAGTAGTTAAATAGTGAATTAAAATTGATGTGACGTATAAGAATGATTGTTTGATATTATTTGATTATATTAATAATATTGAAGATAGTAGAATTAAAATAAAATTGAGCAGATTTTGAGTATGAATTGGATAAATTCATAAACAAACCCACCCTTACTATTGTAGATCTTGTATCTTTCTTTTTTTTTTCACTGATTCCTTTTCTTTTAAATGTTAGTAGTAGACTAAAATATATATGGAAAATGTAATAACTATTTTTTGTTATTTTTTTGTTATTTTGAAATTCTAGGTATTGGCACCTCTCCCAATTGGATTTGCAGTATTCGTGGTTCATTTGGCCACCATACCGATCACTGGCACAGGCATCAACCCGGCTAGGAGTCTTGGAGCTGCAGTTATCTACAATCATGATAAGACTTGGGACCAACATGTATATTTCCTTATTTATTACTTGAAAAATATTTTTCTCATAATTATTGATATAATGCTTTAATCCTTGTTATTAATATTAATAAGCAGTATTTTGAGGTCCTTCTAACTATTATTTATTTATTTGATAATTGTAATTACTGAATTCTGCAGTGGATATTCTGGGTGGGACCCTTCATTGGTGCAGCCATTGCAGCTTTCTACCATCAGTTCATTTTGAGGGCTGGAGCAGTTAAAGCCCTTGGCTCTTTTAGAAGCAGTGCTTCCCATGTTTAATTTGGTTAATTAGTAGAAAACGTGTTTTTCTTCTTTTTGTATCGTATGTGCTTCTAAAAGCAAGAAAAATGGATCATGTTGTGTTCTTCTGCTTAATTTTATT